AGAAGGGTCTAGGCCCGAAACGTCAGCCTTCCTGCTGCTCTGATGCTGCTTGACCTGCTGTGTTCATCCAGCTCTACACCTTGTTATCTCAGAACTTCTAAGCTACATGTTTATGGAACTTCAAGTGAGATACACTTAATTTATTTCCTTGTTCCCAGATGCTCTTGATGTGAGAACAGTAGATTCCAGCTCCTTCTCAGGCTGTGGTGGAACCAGTTAATATTGAGTGCAGATAAGATATAATGTGCAGCCCTCAGTAATATTTCTGAACATGCATCAGTATGCATAATTTTTACTCAGTGTTGCAATTAATGATGAAATACAAGTATATTACTTGACAAGAAGTTAGCGAGTGACATAATGGTAACGTAACTGATCAAGTAATCCTCAGAACTAGACTCACGCTCTGGGACAAAGGGTTCGAATCCACTCACAGCTATATGGTGAAATTTGAATTCAATTTTTAAAAATCTGAAATTAAAAGTCAAATGTAACCATTATCAATTTTTAAAAAAAAATATGATTCACTAATGCCTTTTAAGGAAGGAAATCTGTTATCTTTACTGGCCTACGTGTTACTGTAGACTAACCATATTGATTGACCCTTAACTATCCCTGTGAAATGACCTCAGCAAGCTACTCAATTCAAGGACAATAATGCTGGGTTGATTGGTAATGCCCACTAATGCCTCAGACTATTTGGTAATTAATTTTTTTTTCCCATAGGCTCCCCAAACTTAAGACAGAAGCCACCACCACGCAGGGAAACTAGCCTGGTATGTATGGATTTTGTTTTTCTGTTACATCATCAGTGCATTCACTAAACCTTCCGAGCCCACAATCTCTACCACCCAGAAGCTTAAATACAGCACGGTTATCAGAACATCGTCACCTGCACATTTCCTACAAGCTACACTTCATGCTGATTTGGAACTATAATCACTGACCTTTCACTGTCCACTGGATGAAAATCTTGGAGTAAAAAGCTGCTGGGTATCAATACTTCTTGATATGTTTTTCTGCGTGGTTTGCTATTCACTAGACCCTTACTTAAGTGTCATTAGCAAGTTTGATATTGTGGTCTCAATACCCAAATCCTATATACCAAGAACCAACACCACAAGAAGAGAGTGCATGAGCAAAGGTTTGTTATCTCTGGAATTTAGGAGCTATAAGGAAAGACATGGGCATGATATGGCTCATGGAAAGTCTGGAAAACTAAAGTGCATCTATTTTAATGCCAGGCACTTGACTGCTAAGGAGCAGATGAACTCAGTGTTGATCAGCACATGAGAATATGATATTGTTGCGATTACTGAGACATGATTGAAGGAAGGGCAGAACCGGCAGCTCACATTCCAGAGTATAGAACTTCCAGACATAAGTGTTGGGAAGTTGGAGGAAGGGGGTGGGTGGGTGTGTGTCTGGAGTCACATGTAGTCTAGACAAAAGAACAACAGTTGCTTTCCCGAAAGGGCATCAAACCCTTAACTCCGGATTTTTATTAAATTCAAAAGCCACCATCTGCCATGGCAGGATTTAAAATCGTCCAGAACATTACCTGGGTCTCTGGATTAATAGTCTCGTGATTACACCACAAGGCCATTGCCTCCCCTATACTTGTAGGAGATTTTAACTTTGCTAACATTAAGTGGTGTTGCCTTAACGTGAAAAGGTTTAGAATAGAATTTTTAAAGTGCATCCAGGAGGACTTTTTGTGCCAGTACATAGATAGTTCTACTAGAGCTGGGGATAGTGACCATAACTCTATAAGTTTCATGGTCATTATAGAAAGGGTTATGGATAACATAGAAGTTAAATGCCTAAATTGGACAAGGGTAATTTCAGGATCTGGCAAACATAGACTGGGAGCAGCTACTTGCAGATAGGTCTATGTTTGTAAAGCGCAGGTCGTTTAAAAGTAGTATAGTGAGAATTCAGGGCCATTGTGTTCCTCTAAGATTGAAGGGGAAGGGCAGCAAGTCCAGGGAGCCCTGGAGGTCAGGGGATATTGAGAGCTTGGTTTTAAAAAAAAGAAGGAAATGTATGTCATGTACGGCTCATTAAAAGTAAGGGAGGCCCTTCAAAAGTATAGAAAGTTTAGGATTGGTTGAAGAAGAAATTAGGAGGGCAAAGCGGGGCCACGTAATATCTTTAGCAGATAGGATTAAGGAAAATCCTAAGCCTTTTTATAAGAGGAAGGAGTGGGACTGATTAGAGATCAAAGGGACAACATGTGCATGGAGGCAGAGGAAGTGTGTGAAATCTTAAATGAAAATTTCTTGTCTGTATTCACAGAAGCGAACGGCATTATAGCCAGGGATTTCGTTTGGGATAGTGAGGCTCTAGAACATGTTAAGATTACAAAGAGAGATATTATATGTTTTAGTGGGCACAAAGGTACATAACCCTCATGGCAATGTATCCCAAGCTGCTATGGGAGGCAAGGAAAGAGATTGCTGGTGTCCTGGCAGAGATATTTAATACTTTGCTGGCCACAGCTGAAGTGCCAGAATACTGGAGGATAGTTAATGTCATTTCTTTATTCATTTATTCCTTTATTATTAGTAGGGAAGGGCCAGGTAATTACAGACCAGTTAGTCTGACATTAATGGTAGGGAAATTCTTGGAAAAAATTCTGAGGGACATGATTCATCAACACTTGGAAAGGTAGTGATTAATCAGGTATAATCAGCACAGATTTGTTAGAGGGAGATCCTGTCTGACTAATTTAATTGAGTTTTTTGGAAAGATGACTAAATATATTGATGAAGGTAGTGCAATTAATGTAGTTCACGTGGACTTCATTAAGGCTTTTGAGAAGTTCCAAATGGAAGGCTAGTCCAAAATAACCCATGGGATCCAAGGCAAGTTGGCAAACTAAGGATAGAAGTACTGAGTAACAAACGGACCTTGGTGTACAAGTCTATAGAGTCCTGGACTCTATAACTTCTGTTCACCAAAGGTTTAATGGATATGAAGAAAAGATTCATATAAAAGTTGGGTCCAGTGATCTCCGTGTATGATGACATATGCTCAAGGGGCTAAATGACTACTTCCAGTCCTATGTTTCCAACACAGATCCTGGGATCCGTCACTGAGACCAGAACAACACCCCATAATTTTATTGTTTGCTTTCTTCTGAAACCATTGACAGGTGGAGAAACATTCACTACAGAGAAAGAGGTTGAAGCTCGTGAGATAAGAACTCTTGGTTTGCTAGTATACAATTCATGGAAAGCATGAGTAAAGTTGAATAGCTGTGTCTTTTGGTGCAGTTGCAAAGATGGCCCAAGTGAGAGAGTGATCAGCACAAAGGGCATGCAGGGTTAGTGGTGTTGGGACTTGGAATTGGATGATATAATAGGCGATAGTAAGAGTGGTAGAATATGAACCTCGGTGGGAGGTGGATGCAGTAGCAGAGATAGAGTGACTTTGAGATATCGGAGAGAAAAGGGCTTTTACTCTGGTGGTGTGGAGAATGTCATTTTTACAGTTCTACAGTGGTGCGCATTCCTCCAGATAGCTAAGAGTGAACCAAATGGGCGGCTACCTTGGACCAGATTGGCATGGGCGAAGAGGATGTCGTGCCTCTGTACGACCCCAACAGTCAGGACCTCCAGGTGCCAACTTAACAGAGATCTATCAGCAGTTTGTTGCTACCTATTCAGTTTGAGAATGCTTTTCTACATGTAAAATAATTATTTGATAATGGGAGCGAAAATATAGAATGACTTTATATTTGTTGCTTTGATGACAATCTAAAGCAGTAAATGCTAACGATGGAAAAGAGTGAGAACAAATTTTTAGTAGCAGAATAAACTGCGACAAACGTTTAAAATTTTCTTTACTTTTGCTCCACATAGATCAAATAACAATTGTTGTGAAAATATCAGGTTCATTTCAAGGCTTTTAAGAGTGTTCACTTTTTGTATTGCAATCCATCCAGGGATTCCAGCTGCCCAAGCCTCCAGAGCCTCCTGCTGTTGAAGTGGAGTACTACACCATTGCAGAATTCCAAACACATATTGCTGATGGGATCAGCTTTCGTGGGGGACAAAAAGCTGAGGTACACAGCATGTTTTAGCGATTTCCAAAAGGATCTGGCACAGCAAAGCTCGATAGTTATATGCAAAATATTATCACCTTGTGGAAACCAATAAACTAACAGAATCTAATTAACAACTCCAACTAAAGATAAATAATTTTTACTCTAACAGCGAAATCCAAAGCAACAAAAAAGTAAACATGAGTTAACACACAAATTGTGGTCAATATAATCTCTAAATTTCTCTTAAAATATCAAAAATAACAAAGGTAGATTTCACAGATTTACTAGCAGTCCAGTTAGAATATATGACACCAATTCCAGTCACAAAATCCTTCAAAACTCTGAGCTTCCTTAAGCTGAATTCCAGCTCTGTTTCTTCAATGCTTCAGGCACCATCTCATTCAAGTAGCTTTATTCTGTATATATTTTACAGGTACATTTTCCATGAAAACACTTTTCCAGATCGTTCTCCTAGTTCTGCTAGTGGATTAAATTGATTTAGACTTCTTTTCCAGCTGTCTCATGGCTTTGTTCTCCTACAGCCTATTGCACTAAACTGCACGGCTGACATCATCTTAAAGTTCTGACCTTACATCTGTTTTCAACCAGTTTCTATTCTCTAGCAGTCTGAGATCGCACCCTATTTCCCTGGAACCTAAAATCTTAATTTCTTTCTTAGTTAAGAACTGTCTTAAAAAAGAACTTTGACACCAGAGTTAGTGTACCTAACAAAACATTTGACAAGCTATTTGTGTAGACAACAGCTCATTCGTGCTTCTCTACTAATCCTATGGAATGTGGATTTCATAACAAAAAAACAATTGGAAGCAAATATTTTGTCAAACTTTTAAATCAGATCGAGGTTACCTTTCCCAAGTGAATGATTTTGGATAGCAGCTTTTATTTGGTTTCCTTTAGAAATTTGCTTCCAGAATACAATTTATTTCACAGTAGAGCCTTTTAATGTGTTTCTAACAGTAAATATTCATAGAATGTTTTAGGTGTCTAGCATCAAATACCAAGGAATGAGATTTTCCTCCATTTCCCAGTGTGTTTCATTATTAATGTCTACAAATTCTACTCAAGTGACATATTCCTCACCTTTTCAATTGTTAAGTCAAGGCAAAGATTTTTTTCTTTTCTAGACACGTTTAACTTTCGTATTTGGTTTACAGTATTTCGATCTCTTACAACTTTCTGTAATATATTTGCAATTTGAAGTAGATTAATAACTAAAATCTGTCAGTGAGCAAGGATTTGCACAAAATATGTGCAATATGTAGATTTTCTGTGGCACTAGCACCATGCTTTATGCACTATGTGTCAATTGCCCTTGAAATCTGTATATAGTAATTTTTACATATTTGATCCTTAGGTCATTGAGAAAAATTTAGGTGGCTGGTGGTATGTACAGATTGGGCAGCAGGAGGGTTGGGCACCATCTTCATACATTGACAAGAGGAAAAAGCCAAATCTGTCCAGAAGAAGCAGCACACTAATCCGACCAAAAATCCCTCCACCGGCACCACCCACCAAAAGCAAGCCAAATTCTGAGGAAACAGGTCCAGGAAATGACAGTGAATGCATGCAACAAAAGCCCAAGTTTGAGGAACCAGAGTATGATATTCCGGCTGCAATCTTTGATCATGAGCCTGAGACTAGAATGAATTTGATTGCTGACGAACAGGCTAAAGAGGATTCAGTTGATCAGGACCAGCCGGAATCCAGCCAGCAGCAAAGCAAACCATGCCCATTATCCACACTGCGAAAAGCCCGCTTCAAAATGGGTGAATCTTCAGAAAGCTTGTTCCGTGATGACCAGCTTGTATATCCTCCCAGTGATAAGGAATGCAACCAAGGAGGGAGTAGCAATAGTTTAGTATGTAATCAGGTTTGTGAAACTATTACTCAGATTGATGCTGCAGTGTCAGCATCAGAGACCAGCTGTTCACCAAAATACATTTCACCAAAACACTCTCTAAAAAACCTTCAGTTAAGATCTGAGAAAAAAACAGATGCTAGGAAAGACCAGGATCCTGAAAAAAGTGGGGATAATTACTGCAAATCCATCTCCGATATCAGTGACTGCACCACACAGAAAGTTGGATCAAAAAAAGACAAGGAGATATCTGAAACAAACGCACACACAGAACAGAAAGCTGCTCTTAGTCCTATAACCAGGCCAAAGCCTTCTGTGAGACCAAAGCCTTTACTGGTGAAGCCAGAAGCACAGAATACGGAGATCAGCACTATCAGGCGCCAGCTTAGGCCTACAGGACAGCTGAAACACAACTCAAAAGGGATAAAGATTGATGATGCAGAAACTATCTCATTAACATCATCTGAAAATTCAGAAGATTCTTTCACTAAAAGTACAGTCGATCTTTCTACAAATGTGTCACTCAGCCAGATGGGACTGGGAACAGTAAAACCCAGTGATCAGGAAACAGAATCACTGTGTCAGTATAAGACAGTGGATAAATATGAAAAAGTTCAGGACAATGAAATCAGTTTTCCAGCAGGAATAATGGTTGAGGTTCTAGAAAAACAAGACAGTGGTTGGTGGTTTATTAGAATTGGAGATGACGAGGGATGGGCCCCGATCTTCTACTTGGAGCATGTTAGTGGCAGGCCAGCAGAGGGCCCTGGAGAGTCTGAAACTCCTAATAGGGACAGGTCAGTGAATGAAAACCAACTCAACAATGTAGAGAAAGTAGACAAGAAGGTTCAGGCATTAAATAACATTAACATTGGTCTAAAGCGAGCAACACCCCCAATTCCTGCAAAACCCCCTGGAGGGTTTGCAAGACTAGGAGGAAATGTGAATGGTTCAGTAAAAATGAGAAATGGGTTGAAACAGGTAACCGTGAGGCCACAATCTGTATTTGTTTCCCCCTCGAGCAAAGAAAGTAACAGCCTAGCTGCATCACTCAGGAGGAATGAATCTATGATGTGTCATGAGAATATCAAGTCTACAGTGAATATCCGTCGTAATGCATCTTTCAACAATGTCCGGTTACGAAAGAAGAACGAGGAGTCTGACTCTATACACTCCGTGGCAATGTCCAGCCAGAAAAAGGTCAGACCTTCAGAAAGGTGTGGAGGAATCGAGTCAGATGCCATAGGCAGAATTTCCCAGAAAGACGGGATTCCCGTGTCAGCTGTGAGACCAAAGCCAGTGTGCATCCAGGAGAAACCCCAATTCATTCAGAACAACTGGAGAGAAGTGTACGTTGCAATCGCTGACTATCAGGGAGATGAGGAGACCATGGGCTTCCAAGAGGGCAGTTCTGTGGAGGTGCTGGAACGTAATCCCAATGGTTGGTGGTACTGTCAAATAATAGATGGTGGATGCTCTCGAAAGGGCTGGGTGCCTTCAAATTATCTAGAAAAAAAGTACTAAAATTTCTTTTTATACATATAAATATATTTTAATTTATCGATGCAATGTGCATTTTCAAATGGAACTGTCAAGCAAATACTGCAAACCTGCGATGGAATAAATGCCGCTATATTTCAAGTGCTGAATTGCTGAGCTAGTGTATACCAGTGAGACTGTAACATAAAGCTGATTAAGTATGTGGAAAGACACCTGTAGATGATGAGAATTATGTAGTCCGTCTGCACACGGTGGGTTCTGGACATTAAAGTGTCAAAGTGGAGCTGATCAGAGCTGGACAAGGGCGAGTTGCACTTCCTACATGCAACGGAGTTACTCAAAAGCCGGACCTTTGAGCAGAGTTGGATATTTTAAATTAATTATTATTGTTTTATTATTTACTTTTTACTGAATAATCAGGAGTTGTTCTGGACTTTTTCACTGGTGCCTTTAGCATGCCCAAAGTATAAAAACTGGGAATTAACATTCTTTTCACTGTGCCAAAAATGTAAATTAATCTGTTCAAATTTCTTTGACTTGATGGAATGGCTTTAAGCTATCGCTGACTTTTAGGTCATTATATGTTATGTTAGAAGGGAGATGAAAGGGAACTAACATCATGCAATGTGACAGATGAGATAGAAACCCCAATATTTGAAGGTGTGCTAAAATGCTAATTACATTGGCAAATGTGTCTCAAGGATGCCATTTTTACTGTTCTGTCACAAGGTTTTTCTGATTTTCTCATGTAAGTTCTAGGCACATTCATTATTTTGCTTTAGTTCATCAGACTACAAACACTCTCCAGGATGACACTAATAAAGTTAGTAGCTCTTCTATTGTGGCCCAACAATACACAACTCTGTTTTTCTACTTCTAGCTTGGAGTGTTATTAGGTTGAAATTTTTAGCAGAGCTCCTGATATTCAGAAAGCAAATGACCCCAGCATGCTCTGTCCATGCCCTTTATTTGCATCAAATCTTTGCATCAGAGTATGGATCTGGGACTAATAATTCTTTTGAACATATCACAAGATGAATATTTCACACTGCTTCATAAAACACGGAACCTCAGAAATCTGAGAGGTGAGAGCTTTATCTGCAGTTTGTTGGTATGATATGCTTATTTATAAAATATTTTATCTTAGGTTCTTTTTGCATAAATTCTCTAGATGGAAGATTTTTTGTATATGGTATTGTTGCAGGACACTTAAACAAGGACACTAACAATAGACTTGCACCCTCGTTCAAGGGCAAAATGGAGAGAAGTGGTGTGGTGAAAGATGCAGCACTTTCTGCAATGGACTCCATTGCTGCCAAGAAAAAAAAATGTGGCTCAGGGCCCCATGACTGGATAACTAACACTGCAATCTACAATTAAACATGAAGGGACATGGCCCTGGATGTTGGATTCAATAACTGAAGTACACATTGGTATTATAGTACATTAATTTTTATATATGTTGTCAAATGTAGCTACATGACCTTCTTTGAATAGAAATGAGAGGCACCAATTGAAAGTTGCCACTACTTTGCAGTAGCTGAATGACACGTAGGCTAGGAACTTCTAAGCTGAAAGGATATACTGCTTCTTCATGAATTTGATCATATTATCTAGCTAATATGAACAGAAAGTGATACAGAAACTCAGCAGACCTGGCAGCATTTGTGGAGAGTTGACATTTCATGTTCAATGTGACTTCTTCAGGACAGTATTATTCAGCACTGTATTGTTCATTGCTGTTTGCTAAAGCCTGTTACTACCAGCAGTGCTTTGCTGCCTCTACAGATGTACTAATGGAATGTAAATTAGTGCATTAGTGGATGCACAATGATTTGGGGACTGAGAAGGGTCCCATTTATTGAACTATTGTGTCACACCCATCCTTTGAATGTCAGTGGTCTTTTTCATTGGCATGTTGTTTGTTCAGGAATAAAACACTTCTTTAATAGTGTAATGCAGACGTGTAATAATTCTTGATTTTATACAATATATAATACCCTTTAGTACAACACAAGTTGGAAGGAATTAAAGTTTACAGAGATGTGCTGAGTAGATCCCATTAAAACTGAACAGCATACATCTTAACAGCCAGTTACTGCCAAATTAGACTTGCTGAGTTATGATTCCATTGTTGGCTGCATTCCTTCAAAGTAAATATGCAATTTTAGCATAAAGATTTGTACAGCTTTTCTGGAAGTAGCTTCGAGTTTAGAAGAATCTACTTGCCTAATATTTATTTACCTCAACATGCATACAACAGTTAAAGATGGATTTTATAACCAATTCTTCAATGCAATTAAGCAATAAAACCAAACTATCTATTTATCTTACCTGAATTTTTTGTCAGCCTACTCCTGATTCTTCTAGTCTCAAGCTTTTACTACAGTTAGTTTAACAAGGGAATTTTGTATAATCAATAGTGAGTTTCTATAGTCCTAAGGATAGGTAGATTGTACTCGTAAGCATAGAACATAACTAAATTCAACATTAGTCATCAATTTCAGTTTTATGTTACTGTATCAAACAAAATGACTTACTTTCTGTTTATTTGTTAAAACTTCCATCAAAAAGACACAAAATATGGAAAAGTGCAATATAGAATTGATGTAAATTATTGAGGGTAAATGCTGATATTGGGAGGTTAATTGATGTGAAGCAGGGTTTTGAACATCTGTGTAGGGGAAAACTAACAATATATCTAGGAATAGCAGGGTGTATATCAGCTAATATATCATGAAAAATGTATAAGCCTAGTAGAATCAGCTTTAGTGGACTGGGAAAAACAGAATCTTGATCAGGCACTGTCTTTGCAATTCTGATTATGATCTGGACTAGGAAATCTAGAACAAGATGCTTTTAAAATTAGCTTTGCAATGAAATACTGATGATTCAGTAGTCTTATTTTGGAACGGTATTGTCCCAGTGGATAATAGTGTAGTCTGCTAACACTGTGCTTTGTTATGTCAAGCAATGCTCCTAATATATCGCAGTTTACAAATTAATGGTGTTTTGAGCTATTGATACAACTGTGTATTTTAGGTACTGCACATTTAGCTTGGTTATCCAGTAAGTAAGAAAGAAAATGTGCTGACAGAATGAAGTTGGAAGAACTGTTCTTATTGTGGAATGATAAATAGCTTTGGAAGTTGAGAGTCAGGATTCACTTTCCTATCCCTTGGTTCAGTTTTATTTCTGTTGGTTTTAAAGAGCGGGGGCAAAGTAAGCAAAAGACATTTTGAGATTCTCAAATTGTTTCAGCGCAAAATTGGCTTTTCAGTTGTGACCTCAAGGCTTGAGTGGTAAGGGACTACAGGAAAAGAGAGAGCTCTGCCAAAAGAAAGTCATGGCTCCCTAGAGGTTCTCCTGCAAGCTGTCTAGTAGAGAAGGAATATACTGTTTCTCAGGAATGGCAACAAGAGGCCATCCCGGGTGACCAAAGCATCCTGGACTAAGGTGGCTGTGGAGGGAGTATCAAGAGAGAGTAGATCCAGTGCCGCAAAAGGATGAATGATCTGCTAATACACCAGTCAGAATAGTACCACTGACTACTCAATGCTTTGTACCCCCAAGAGTAAAAGGACCTATAAAGCTTAGAAGCTCATGCACCACCAGTTCACTGACCTTTCATCACAACTATGAGAATTTACACAGCTGATTACTATATACCAAGGCTTGCATGGGACAAGGTCACAACCACAAAAGGTTTCTTTGGGTTGGACACCTCACAAGAATACCAGACATGTGAATCATATAATGCTTTATTAATTTCTATTAATATTATCTCTTTGAGGTCACTGAAACAACATACATACATCCCCTATGCTTGCAAGTAATGCACACAAGCTATCACATTTCAGGGGATTCACATCTTTATCTATATCAAGCAGTCCAGGCAAAGTGCTCATGCACCGGTGCTAATGTCTGTTAATGATTCTCTCCCTCTGCACAATAAGCATGGACATACATACAATATGATAAACAATACAATATATGGGAATACAATAAGCATAGACAATGGGATCAGGGAGAAAAGGAGTGATGGGGGGTATCTGATAAAAGGCATCTTACAGCCTTTGAAGAGCAGCCTGCTGAGCTGGCAGGAGAGCATATGGATTGTGCTTGTGCTGAAGAGGAGATTGATATGTCCAGCCATCTGGTGAGAAGGCCTCCACTCTACTACTCCCAGCTGCATATCAAGCAGCATGCCTTAAATACTTGGTTAAGGCTAGTGGCTCACAACACTAACAAACATTTTTTTTCCTCTGCAGTTTCAAATCCCATTCTCAAGTCTGGACCAAAAGAAACAAGAAGAGCCCAGTCCTCAAGCCCATTTCTAATAGCCCCTCACAGCACACCTCTGAGGACAAACAGTTGGGACCCTCAGAGTAAGCACAATCAAGGTCTACCACCCTCCATCAGCATACAGACATAGAGACACCTCAGTGAGTAATGTACTGAGAGTCAGCTTCGGGTCACATTCTGGTGCGCACTGCACTGACGTGCGCTTGCAGCGACAGGAGGAAGAAAACAGTGATGTTTCTGTCACTCAGAGAACTGCTGGAGAACAGATCTAAGCTGAGCTCATTGCAGTCTCTGTACTTAGCCATTAATGAACTGCTAGTGATGATGCCAGAGACAAAGAGGAGAACATCCGGCAGACATGCCAGAAATCATGCGTAGACAGGAGCAATGGCCAGAGGCATCTGCCCATATCTTATTTGATTCTGTAACTTCAGCATGCAAGCACATAGCTTCCTCCATAGTTCAGGTGGCAGCCACTGTGGAAAGTTAGGTCTAGCAAAACCATCAGTAAATGCCAGATATGTTCATATGAGCCATGGCTGCTTTAATTCACTGGTTCAGTGAAATGAGCCCACAGGACCTTGACATCCCTCCAAGTTCTCTATCCCACAAGAGGTGTGGGAGGTACCATTCTACACTGACAGGTAGAATGAGGATGAAGAGACAGACAATCAGCGATTGTCATCTCGGTATTCCAGAGATATCCTGATGCATCATCGCCCTTCTGCTGGAAAACCCGGTGCCTGCATCCAGTTATTCTGAGGGCATTGCATCTGCACCTGTATAGGAGCTACCTGGTCCAGGTTGAACAGTTTTTGGCCAATAAAGCCATCTGAGCTAAGGGGGTAGTCAGCCGGATTCCTGCAGCTACCCAAATGGCACCAAGACGTAGCAGTAGAAAAATAAGAATTAAACAGCACTGATGTTAACATTCTTTACACTACACTCGAAACAATTCAACACCTTATATAAAATGTCTTCAGCCTATTTCAATCACTTCTAACTGTTCATGTGTTCCTTATAGGGTATCTGATTGCCTTAGGTGCTCACACATCTATCTTGCAGCAATGCGAAGGCCACTGTGACCAACATAATCTCTGTAAAGTGGGAATTTAGTGAAATGGTTGGGTTTCAACTGTCAACCACAGTTGTTCAACCCCTCTACCTGAGTAATAAATAGAAGCACCTTGCAAATGAAGGAATCAAGACAAATGTAGCCATGTAAATCTGCAGAACTGTATACCGTTGCTTTGGCCAGGAAACTGAACGGGTTTATTGGTGCCAAAGGAACAAATTCAATGGCACTCAAACTGTCTTAATGTTTAAATTTAAATAACAAGAATTCCTTTGAGAACAAGATTTCCTCTATGGCATAGTTCATAATATTTCCAAGTATCCACAGTTGTTTGTGGAAAGGTATTTAGCATCAAAACCATCCAATATCAAGTTTTTTTAGCTCCCTTAGCATTTCTGTCAGACTCACCTTACTCATTGGAGGAGACGGATGACTGGTCCATCGCCTCCTCATCTCACACCATCGTTGAGCTCAGTTATGCAGGATGCAGCAAATAATCACTATTCTGGAGGCCCTGTCAATGAGTATTGGAGTGCTGCTCCTGGGTGGTTCAGGCAACAGAAGCGCACCTTCAGAAGACTAATTGCCTGTTCAATGGTGGCCTCAGTGGATGTATGTGCTGCAATTATAACATTGTTCACCATCAGCCTGAAGGTTTCACACCAGCTGTGTCTTTTGGGAATATCCCTTGTTATCTAAAAAACCGTCCTGGAGATCATGGGTGGGGTGGGGGCAGGGTGCTACTTTGGTAGTTGTGCAAGGCTTAGGGCTTTGAAAGCACCCTGGGCAATGGGTGCACACCTGCAGAAATTGCCCATAAATGAGCTGAACACAGAGAGTGAAACCCCATCCAGTTCAGGAATTTGGCTTAGCTCTGAACCTCACATGCATTCAATTGATCACCCGTTGTAACTGAGGGAACTGGTGATGGCTGCAAATCTGATTGCTCAGACACCTAGGCTGTCTGTGTTCATGGTGAACTAGCTAAAATGTATTGCTTTTCTAAAAGGGGCATCAGTGAACTCCTGAATGCATCGTAGACTACCAATTGGAAGATAAGTCTCTAATTGAGGTTTGAAAGAAGCCTGCAGTGAGTAAGTTCAATATTGCTGTAATCTTCAGCATCACTAGCATGGTACTTTCTCCCCAACTTGTGTGGCTGCAGAATATGTTGGCAGGAGGTGGCTGATGATAGATAATGGCTTCTCTAGTCATACAGACATACCTGCAGCACTGCTTTTCACTTGTCTGCAGGCATCTGGAACACTCACCATACACACTTTCTCAGTAGATTGCTCTATGGTGCTGAAGACCTTCAAGCACTGCCTGCTTTTCTGTCATGCAGCCCCCTGAACCTTTTGTTTCTAATTCCTCTGTCATCACACTTTCTTTCTCCTCCTACTTCTCAATCCTAGCAAAGCTGAGACAGTGCTGGTTTAAATAGATCAAACACGTAACTTGGAAGTACTGACCCATTCTGAAATATCAGGAATGAGATGTATATTTCCCTTGTGCGCTCATCAAGCTGCTTGTCTTGGTGAAAGCCTGTCTACAATCACTTCTACAGAATGAGGTGCATCCTCCATGAACCATGATTGGGGTTCCTGTTCCTGAGGCTGCCGTCTGCAAAACATTTATGTCTTTTATAAGATGTAAGAACAGAAGTAGGTCACTCGATCCATCAAGTCTGCTCTGCCTTCAATAAGATTATGGCTAATCTGATAGTCCTCAACTTCATTTTCCTACCTTTTCCCCATAACCTTGATACCCTTACTAATTAAAAACCTGTCTACCTAATCTGTGCAAAATATTAAATAACTGAGTCTCTACAACCCTGTGCATTAAAGAATTTCAGTGATTCACTGCCCTCTGAGAGAAGAAATTCCTATTCATCTTTGTCTTAAATGGGTGACCCCTTACTCTGACATTATGCTCTCTGATCCTAGATTCTCTCACAAAATGAAACCATCTCTCTACACATATCCTATCAAGCCTCCTAAGGATTGGTAGTTTTTCAATTCTCTGGGTCTTTTCCAGAATCTAAGAATTCTTGGAAGACATTATCAGTATATCCACTATCTCTATGGCTACATGCTTTAATATCCTACAATGCAACCCACCAGGTTGAGGGGACTTATCAGCCTTTAACCCCATTAGTTTCCCTAGTACTTTTTCCCTAGTGATAATTATTGTGTTTATTTCCTCCCCTTGTCCACCTTCCCTAACGGCCTCACCTTCTGCATCTTGATTATTTAGTACTTTTGGAATGCCATTAATGTCTTCTACTGTGAAGACAAATGTAAAATATTCATTCAATTCCTCTACCATTTCCTGGTTCTCCAAAATTATTTTCCCAGCTTTGATTTCTAAGGCGCCTTGTACACTTTGGCCTCTCTCTTCCTTTTTGTGTATTTAAAGCTCTTGCTATCCTTTTTCACCACACTTGCTTGCCACAAAGACTATTTTCTTCCTTTGCTTTCAGGCATCTATTTTCATTGTTTTTAAGTCACCCATGATTACTACAATACTACTTTTGTATGCCCTCATTAACTCCTACTTTATTCTCTGAACTACAGTATAGCTGCTGTTGGGGGCCAATGGAGTACTCTCACCATTGTCTTATTGCCCTTGTTATTTCTTAACCCCACCTATAAGGATTCTAAACCTTTTTTATTTGACCTATATGGATTCTGTATCATCTGCATCTATCCCAAACGCCTGTCCCTCTCACATTATGTTCCAGCATGGTTAAAGTAAATCCCGTCCTACTGAAGCAGCTGATTTCCATGACAGTGCTGGTGCCTCATGAACTGAAATCCATTCCTTCCACATCAATCTTTGAACTACACATTTAAATCCTTGACTTAATTTGCCCATGACTCAGGTAATTGAGAATATTACCTTGGAGACCCTGTTTTTAATTTAGCTCCTAACTGTTGAAATTCTTTCAGCAGATCCTCCTTTCTGGTCCAATCAATGTCATTGGTACCAATGATGATACTGGATTCCTTCCCTTCCACACCAGGTTCCTCCCCAGTCCTGAAGAAATGTCCTTAATCCTTGCACTAGGAAGGCAGCACAGCCTTCAGGACTCATGGTTACGACTGGAGAGGACAGCATCTGTCCCTCAGATTATACTTTCCCCTACTACTACTATGTTCCAATTTCCTCCCCGCATTTGAATGGCTCCTTGAACCAGGGAACTGTGGTCAGTTCAGCCATCCTCTCTCAGTCCTCACTCTCATCCACACAGCTAGGAAAACCACATAACTGTTGGATATTTACAGGGGCTGTGCTCCTTGAACGCTTTCCCCTGGGCCCCCATACTGGCCGTACCTGCAGTCACAGTTGCCTATCCCTGATCACAGACAGAATTTTAATTACCTAGTTTGAAGGATGTGTCTCTACCTCCTGGAGCAAAGAGTCCACATAACTTTCCCCCTCCTTGATGTAGCACAGTGTCTACAACTGAAAGTCCAGTTCTTCATCTTGGATCCAAAGTTTCTTGTGCTCCAAACATACTACAGATGTGTTCACTCTGGATCTTTTGGTGTGCAGCAACTTCTACATGCTGCTGCAGCAATACATCACCCATACTGCAATCACTGCCCCATTTTATTTATGAATTACTTAATCTAGCATTTTTTTACACTGAAAGATTCAGCTTATACTTTTCTGTAATTATTTTACACCAGTATCAACCTTATACTTAACAAGCCATTTTAATAAAATGAGAGATGAAAGAAGTCTAAAGACCTAAGCACAAACTGAAAACCTTACTTTCATGTTAAAGAATAAATGTACTCATGAATACTACTCACCAATGAGCTTCTTTCCCTGCACCTACACCATTTCATGATTCGTGATATCACTCCATTGCTAATCTTACTGCAGATTGGCCTCTCAATTGGCCAAATGCCTGCTCTATGATCATCACAAATTTTTATAGGATACATAAATGTTCATGAACTGCCAAACCATGAATTTATTTAAATCTCTAACCCTTTCTTTTCTGAAGAACTGTCTCTCCATCTCAATGAGAGTTTAAAAAATGTGTCCTAATGGTAACAACAGTTTTTTTGTTGACAGTACCCCAAGTGCTATTGTTCTTTTATTAATGGTCAGCAGCTTTCCACAACTTGCAGTTATCCCAGCAGGGGCCTTTTTAAGTTCACAGCTTGAATGATAGATCAGAGAGGTTGCTAAAGAATAACTGTCTTTGATTTAGATTATGCATACAACTCCTTATATGGGATTAAGTACTTAAGGAGCTTTTAAATTTTGAATGTGCTTTCATGAATAGGAATGCTTTCTTTTTAAACAATAGTAAAGTCTGTAATAGCTATTTAGACCTTTAATTTATTCCATTTCAACATTGCCCTTGAGGTCTGCGCATGGGTGAGTTGGCATAGAGAATGCAAGATGAAAGGATGCGGCTGAGTTGGCATTAAAATGGTATAGAACATTATAAGGATTTATTGGGATGATGAATGGCTTTGGTTAGCATTAGATTGGCATAGGGCTATCGGGGGCCATTGGGCTGAATGAGTGGTATGTCTGGGGCATGGGAGGTGTATTGGAGATGATGGAGTGTAAGTGTTGAGACTTAGAGGACTGAATATTTGATTAAACAACTGTAAGGAAGTTCTGGAGAACTGCTGTAGGTCTTTTAAACAGGCCACTTCTGGCACTCTCAGCCCCTATGGTCACCTCCAATCTGTGTCTAGAGGCACTGGGCCTCACTGTTCCTGCTCCCACCTTCAGACGAAAATCAAGTCTGACGGTACTTTTTTCAGAAGTGGATGTAATGAGCTGGGAAATTAGTGATCACATCAACCACTTTGGGAGCAAAAATCCAGCTGCACATCTTTTTGCTGTCATATTCTACGAAGAGGATGAAAATTATCCCTCTGTTTTGCATTATCTTTGAGATGTGTATGTTTGATGGTTAGTATTTTTGTTCTGTTAGTGATTATCTTCCATTGCAAGCTGGCAGATCTCAAGGATAGCCAAACTGCTTATCAATACTCCAATGCACTTCAAACATATTGTTATAAATTGAGAGATTATGGATTTACTGCTATTATCCGTTCAGGTTTCCTGCAATCTTGTTATAAGTGAGTCTGAATACCAGGTTTGCTAGTCAGTTTCTGTGGCTACAACCTCAACACTGACCTTCAATTCTAGACAATAAATCTTTGAACTTACAACCGTACATGCACAGCTGCTGTGTTTTAGTTGCTTCTGTACTTTCAGTACTCTTGGTTGGTAACATCGCAATGTTTAAATTGAACAGATAGGAATTGTTTCTTCACTAAATTAAATGGTTCTAAAGTGTAAAGTTCTGAAACTAGGCCCTCACTTCTATTATCTACTTCTGAGTTGCCTTTGGGATGTCTTAAATTGAACTTCTTAATTTTAAATTCTAATTGATAAAAGGAGGTACTTTTATTTATTCATACATATGTGCTGTGCACAAAGGCAGGCTGTTGGCTAGCTGTCTGCTAATGCTTCATCTTGAACTGCTTTCTTGGCAGTTTGCCATTGCCTTCCACTCTTGAGTAGGGCCAGTAAGACGTTCAATGTTTTTCTTGTTCTAATCACAGGGCTATTGGGAAAAGGATTAATTAGAATGATATTTCAAAGATTTAGTTTAATGAGCCAAATGAACACAGTCTGTGCTGTGAAATTCTCTGCATTTCTCTCCCATTGTCTCATCTGCTGGGCTTGGTGATTTAAACTCAGGCGCAATTCACTGGCCTCCCATATTTGAACCATGACACCTTTCATCATGGGTTCATTTGTATATGGTTCTAAATGCTGAGATGTAGTCGCATAGTCAACATGAGAATATCACACACAAACCAATCCCCATCTCTCCTGACATTTATGTATAAGTTACAGGACAAGCTTTAGGAAAAGGAACCCTGACTGAATTTTTTTTTCTCTCTGGTTGATGGCTGCTAAAGCAAAAGCTTCTGCTCCGTCATCACCCTTAATTATAATTAATTAATCTGGAATATAACAAGGAATGCAACTTAGACTATATAATTCAGTATACTGGACAATATATCTACTCATTAACCCAGTAAAGGCATCAAATGCTAATAACACAGGAGCTAAAGAAGACTGAGAAGTTCATGTGTAATTTTCACTTCCATTATCAATATAACCCCTTTTTTCAACAATTGGTTGAACAGAATTTAAACTGTCCTAGTTGAGGTTGCATTTTTATTGTTATACTTTCCTCAGGAAGCATGTAGAGATGTTTGCTTAATTCATTTGCCAGTTTGCAAGGCAGTTGTGGTCAATATATTGAAACTGCTTTTCTAATATACATAAGGAGACAATAACTATCCCAGATGATATAGAAATACATCTTTGCAATCTTTTAAATTGTATTCAATATTCAGAGCCTAATATCAAACTGCAAAGCAGCCTGAGTGGGACTAATTCTAGGAATTCGTTAATTGTGTTTATAAGTACGTGGAAATACTAAGAATTAAGACAAAAATTGGAATAACTTTTTATATGCAAAGTAATAAAGGGAATATTACTGAAACTATTTAATCAGTCTATGGGAGAGACCATAGGTCAAGGCTTTACCACGTCATACTCCAATATTGGGGTAAATTGGGAGCCCCAAATCCACATTTCCCAAGTGCCAAACCGGCACAGCGATATTCCCAGAGGTAGCATTCTAATTGGTTGCCTTAAAGCTCACAGTCCTGGTAAATATACCAGGCAGGATGTAAATGCTGTTGGCCAAATCAGGAATCTGACAGCTGTGACACCTCAGCATTCCCAGTTGTAGAGGTTGTTGTTGAGCATGCTCCAATTCTTTTTAATAATTTCCAGAGAGTGCCTTTGAAGAAGCACATAGAAAATGGCTATGGATCCATAGGAGGTTTCATATAGTTTCCCTATTCTGTTTATTCTCCAAATGTACCCATATGATTTGTATTCATCAAATTGGATTGGGTGTATTTTTGTCTTTCATAACAATGCAGATAATACACTCCTAGTTTCTTCAATGTTTCTAAGATAGGTCACTGTTAGGACTGAGTACAATCTTCATTCAACTTTTGGGGCAGTTTTTGTTTCAGTACTGATGCACCATTAGTCATTTTATTGTTTAGTGGTGATTATCTGGGCCATTGAAAACATAAGTTGCTTCTCCTTCAAGCTCACTGCTTCAAATACATAACATTGCCCTTTTTTTCCCCCTAACTGGTTGTGAGGATGTGTTAATTTGTGAAATCTTTTATATACTTTTCTATAATGTCCACTTTGTGTCTGTAACTCCCCAGAACAACGATAACAATAAATTTGGAACACATATAGTTAATATTTGTATTAGTGCCTTGTTTGTCTATGAAACAAAATTCTTCCAAGCAGTTGGTTGTGTATTGGCCAGCAACCTGAGATTTCACTTTGCTCCTCATTGGACTCCTAATTATTTTGTGCTTCCCAAGCCTCTTAACTTAGGAATCTACTCTGAAAATAATTTATGATCTCCTGTTGGTATTTATCAAATCTGCCAAATATTGTGTTTTCAGCCACTTTATTTAAGGAGCAACCTTGTGGTTCTGGGGAGCAAGTCCAACCTGGAGATACCATGTGGTCCTGGATATTGATAGCTTTTTCTACATTTAGTAACAAAGTACGTGAACCCCTAGTTGTTTCCTCACACTACTTTAGCAAGTGATACATTATTTCTCCTTGTATTTATGTATTATCAGCATGTGTAGTGTGCAATGATGTAATTAAACATGTGAACTGTTCATCTTGGTGTCTGCCTTTCTTTGCAAGTGCCTTTCAAATATGTAGCAGATTTTGGAGATAGGATCATAAAACAAAGTGCAAAGTTACTGGAAGCTGAGAATATGATGAACAAAATCAACTGGTCTGGGTGACCTCCCTGCTTGGATGCAGAGATTTCAACTGGATTATGCTAAGCCTGCCTGTTCCTAACATCTCATGGGTCTTTCAACTACTGATATGACTGATTTTGTAATTTACCTAATCTGGGCTGACTTTAGCTTCTGCACCACTATTATGGACATCCGCAATGAAAGGTACTATGTCATTTTTCACTTGAAATGAGACAATAAGGCTGCACTTATTGGAAAACTAGGAATATTTGGTATTTATTAATATTAGTATTGCTAAAAAAAAATTTTTTCAAAGCTTTTTGTCTTGCACTCAAGGAAAGCATGAACATGAGGAGAAAACCAGCATTTATACTACATACTGTATAAATATTGGTTTTCCCTTAGAATCGGTACCGATGAGTGGCAGACCAAAGACTTCGACAAAGCGTGTTATTTTCTGTGGTACTTAACTTCTGTGTACCAAATGTCTATTTACATTTTTTTAATTTGTTCTTGGGATTTGGGATTTTTTTGGGCTTGGCCAACCATCACTTCCTGTCCCAAATTTCCATGGAGAAATTGGTGGTGAGCTGTCTTCATGAACCACTGCAGTCCTTGGCGTGTAGGCGCACTCAGTACTGTTTATAAGGGAGTTCCGGGATTTTAATGCAGCAGGGATGAAGGAACAGCAATATTATTCAAAATCAGGCCTGTGAATAGCTTGGAAGGGAACATGCAAGTGGTGGTGTTCACATGCACCTGCTGTGACTGAGCTTTTAGGTGGTAGAGCTCATGAGTTTGGAAAGTACTGTTGAAGGAACCTTGTTAAGTTGCTGCACTGTATCTTGTAAATGGTACGCACTGCTGCTACTGAACGTCAGTGCTGGAGAGAGTGAACATTTATGGATACAGTACCAATCAAGCAGGCTGCTTTGTCCTGGATGGTGTCAAATTTCTTGAATGTTGTTGGAGTTGTACGCATCCAGACAAATGAGAGTATTCCATCAGACTCATGACTTGTGCCTTGTAAATGTGGACACATATCAGGCAAACAGGAGGTGAGTTACATGTTGCAGGATTCCTAGCTCTTGACTTGCTGGTGTAGCCACAGCTTTTATATGGTAGAATTGACCACTGCACTGCCTTTGTGGAAACAAAATTCCAACAATGTGGAAAAATGCCAAGGAGTATCCTGTACACAAAAAGCAGGACAAATCCAAACTAGCCAATTATCGCCCCATCAGTCTATTCTCAATGATCAGTGAAGTGGTAGAAGGGACCATCAACAGTTCTATAGTGCAGCATTTGCTTGGTAATAGCCTGCTAGGTGAAAGTCAGTTTAGGTTTCACTTGACCCACACAGCTCCTAATCTTAATTGCTCAGTCGTCAACAAAAGAGCTGCGATCCAGAGGTGAAGTGAACATGACTACCCTTGACATCAAGGCTGCATTTGACCAAATATAGATTCAAGGAAAATTTGACTCAAATGAGATTGGAGGACTCTTCGCTGGTTGTAGTCATACATAGCACAAAGGAATATGGTTGTGGTTGTTGGAGGATTGTGATCTCAGCGCTGGGACATCTTTTCAGGAGTTTCTTCAGGGTAATGTCTTCTTCAATTTCCTTACTTCCATCATAAGATCAAAAATGGGCATGTTTACAGTTGATTGCACATTGTTCAGCACTATATGTGACTCCTCAGGTACAATGCAGTCCATGTCCAAATGCAGCGAGGTCTGGAGAATATCCAGGCTTAGGCTGACAAGTGTCACGTATCATCAGAGCTGCACAAGTGCCAGGCAATAACCACCTGTAACAAGAAAGTATCTAACGATTGCTGCTTGACATTCAATCACATTACTCTCACCAAATCCCCTATTATCAACACCCTGGGTTTACCATTAACCAGAAACTGAACATGACTAGCAATACAGAGTCATAGAGTCATACAGCATGGAAACAGATGTTTCAATCCAGCCGGTCCATGCCCAACATAATCCCAACTAAACTAGTCCCACCCACCAGCTCCTGGCCCATATCCCTCATTTCCTACTCATGAATCTATCCAAATGTCTTTTAAACATTGTAATTGTACCTGTATCCACCACTTCCTCAGGAAGTTCATTCAAATGCAAACCACTCTCTGTAAAAAAAAAAATTTACTCATGTCTTTTTTAAATCCCTCTCCTCTCACCTTAAAAACGTGTCCCCTAGTCTTGAAATCTCCTGTCATAGGGAAATGACAGCTACCATTAACCCTATCAATACTCTTCATGATTTTATAAACTTCTATCAGGTTGCCTCTCAACCTCCTATGCTCCAGTGAAAAAAAGGTCCCAGCCTATCCAGCCTTTCTTTATAACTCAAGCCTTCCATACCCAGCAACATCCTGGTAAATCTCTTCTGAACACTCTCCAGGTTGATAATATCCTTCCTATAAATGGGTGAGCAGAACTGCATACAATATTCCAGAAGAGGCCTTACCAATGTCCTGTACAGCCTCAACATGATTTCCCAACTCCTATAATCAAAAGACTAAGCAGTAAAGCCAAGTGTGCCAAATGCCTTTTTAACCATCCTGTCTATGTGTGATGCAAACTTCAAAGAATTATGTACCTGCACCCTTGGTCCCTTTGTTCTACAACACTACTCAGGGCCCTACCGTTAACTGAATAAGCCCTACCCTTGTTTGTTGTACCAAATTGCAATGCCTCACATTTATCCAGATTGAACTCCATCTGCCATTTTTCAGCCCATTGACCCATTTGATCAAGATCCCTCTGTAATCCTAAAAACCTTTTTCACTGTTATTAAGCCACCAATTTTGGTGTTGTCTGCAAACTTACTAACCATGCCTTCTATATTCTCATCCAAATAATAGAGGGCCCAGAACCAATCCCTGTGGAATACCACTGGTCACAGGCCTCCAGTCCGAAAAGCAACCCTCCACTTTTACTCTGTCTTCTGCCATTAAGCCAATTGTGTATCCAATTGATATCCCATGTGACCTGACTTTACTAATTAGTCTACGATGCAAAATCTTGTCAAAAGCCTTACTAAAATTCAAATAAACTACTGCATTGCCATCATCAATCTTTTTGGTAATCTCCTTGAAAAAACTCAATCAAGTTTGGGAAACTAGATTTTCCTTGCAGAAAACCATGCTGACTACCCCTAATCAATTTTTGCCTCTCTAAATGTCCATAAACCCTATCTTTTATAATCACCTCCAACAACTTACCCACAATCAAAGTAAACTCACAGGTCTATAGTTCCCCGGTTTCTCCTTACAACCTTTCTTAAACAAAGGTACAACATTAGCCACCCTCCAGTCATCAGGCACCGCACCCGTAGTTATAGATGGTGCAAATATTTCTACAATTGGGGTCTCACAATTTCCTCCCTTACTTCCCACAATGTTCTGGGATACATTAGATCAGGTCCCAGAGATTTATCCACCTTTATATTCTCTAAGACCTCCTGAACTTCCTCTTCTGTAATATGAACTGTTTTTAAAACATCAAAGTTTATTTCTGTACATTCTCTAAACTCCATTTCTTTCTCCAACTGATATGAAATGTTCATTTAGTATCTCTCCCACCTCCTGGGGTTCATCACAAAGATGACCTCCTTGATCTTTAAGAGGCCTCCTCTCGCTCTAGATACTGTCTTATTCTTAATGTATTGGTAGAATCTCTTTTGATTATCCTTGTCTGCCAATACGATCTCATATCCACCTTTTGCCTTCCTGATTTCTCTCTTAAGAATGCCCCTACACTCTTTATATTGATTAAGAGATACATTTGAACCAAGTTGTCTTTATCTAAAATAAGATTCTCTTTTATTCTTGACTAAAACCTCAATATCTTTATTCATCCATTGTTTCTTGATCTTATCAGCCTTACACTGCGCTCTAACAGGAACAAATTACTTCTGAACTCCCATCATCAGACTCATGAATGCTTCCCACTTGTCAGACATCCTTTTACCTGTGAACAGTCTACTCCAATAAACTTTTGAAAGTTCTTGTCTTAAACCATTAAAATTTGCCTTACTCCGATTAAAAATTTTAACTTTTATGGAAGGCGTATCCTTTTCCATATCCATTTTGAAACTAACAGAATTACGATCACTCAACTCAAAGTGTTCTCCTACTTTTACTTCAGTCACCTGCCCTACCTTATTGCCCAAAAGGTCCAGTTTTGCTCCTTCTCTAGTAGGAGCATCCCCATACTGATATAAAGAAAATTTTCTTGAACACATTTGACAAATTCTTCACCATCCAAACCTTTAACACAATGGTAGCCCTAGTCAATGTTTGGAAAATTAAAGTCCCCCATTATTACAACCTTATTATGCTTACATATATCTGAGATATCCCTTCATATTTGTTTCTCAATTTCCCTCTTACTATTTGGGGTACTTACAGTATAATTCCATCAAAGTGATCTTTCCTTTCTTATTTGTAATTTCTACCCATATATTTTCACTGGGCAATTTTTCAGAAATATCTTCCCTAGTTACAGCAGTAATGTACTCTTTAATCAAAAACACCACCCCCGACCTTTGCCTCCTTTTCTTTTAGGTCTCCGTTTAGATCCTGTAGCATCTAAAAACGTAGAACATTCTGCTGCTAATTTTGTCTATCTGTCGGCCAAGTTTCTGTAATAACTATGATGTCCCAATCACTTGTTCTTAAACTTGTCCTGAGTTCATCAGCCTTACCTGTAAGACCTCTTGCATGGAAATAAATGCAATTTAGTTCTTCAGAGTTACTACATACTCTCAATCTCTTGTCTTTCTTTTCTAATTGACCTGCTCTCCTCACGTTCAGAGTGTTCCCATCAATCCTTCTGTAGACACTGCTACTTAAAATTCCTCCACTCCCCCTCTCAATCAGTATAAAGTC